CATGTAAGTCACTGTCAGTTAGTCCAGAGTTACTCCAGTCAGACACTCAGCTACTGCTGAGGTAATCAGTCAATCAATACCTGTAAGTCACTGTTAGTTAGTCCAGTATTACATCAGTCAGACCCTCAGCTACTGCTGAGGCAATCAGTCAATCAATACATGTAAGTCACTGTCAGTTAGTCCAGTGTTACTCCAGTCAGACACTCAGCTACTGCTGAGGCAATCAGTCAATCAATACATGTAAGGCACTGTCAGTTAGTCCAGTATTACATCAGTCAGACCCTCAGCTACTGCTGAGGCAATCAGTCAATCAATACATGTAAGTCACTGTCAGTTAGTCCAGTATTACATCAGTCAGACCCACAGCTACTGCTGAGGCAATCAGTCAATCAATACATGTTAGTCACTGTCAGTTAGTCCAGTATTACATCAGTCAGACACTCAGCTTCTGCTGAGGCAATCAGTCAATCAATACATGTAAGTCACTGTCAGTTAGTCCAGAGTTACTCCAGTCAGACACACAGCTACTGCTGAGCTAATCAGTCAATCAATACATGTAAGTCACTGTCAGTTAGTCCAGTGTTACTCCAGTCAGACACTCAGCTATTGCCGAGGCAATCAGTCAATCAATACATGTAAGTCACTGTCAGTTAGTCCAGTGTTACTCCAGTCAGACACTCAGCTACTGCCCGAGGTAATCAGTCAATCAATACACGTAAGTCACTGTCAGTTAGTCCAGTATTACATCAGTCAGACACTCAGCTACTGCTGAGGCAATCAGTCAATCAATACATGTAAGTCACTGTCAGTTAGTCCAGTATTACATCAGTCAGACACTCAGCTTCTGCTGAGGCAATCAGTCAATCAATACATGTAAGTCACTGTCAGTTAGTCCAGTGTTACTCCAGTCAGACACTCAGCTACTGCTGAGGTAATCAGTCAATCAATACATGTAAGTCACTGTTAGTTAGTCCAGTATTACATCAGTCAGACACTCAGCTACTGCTGAGGCAATCAGTCAATCAATACATGTAAGTCACTGTCAGTTAGTCCAGTGTTACTCCAGTCAGACACTCAGCTACTGCTGAGGCAATCAGTCAATCAATACATGTAAGTCACTGTCAGTTAGTCCAGTATTACATCAGTCAGACCCTCAGCTACTGCTGAGGCAATCAGTCAATCAATACATGTAAGTCACTGTCAGTTAGTCCAGAGTTACTCCAGTCAGACACTCAGCTACTGCTGAGGTAATCAGTCAATCAATACATGTAAGTCACTGTCAGTTCGTCCAGTATTACATCAGTCAGACCCTCAGCTTCTGCTGAGGCAATCAGTCAATCAATACATGTAAGTCACTGTCAGTTAGTCCAGAGTTACTCCAGTCAGACACTCAGCTACTGCTGAGGTAATCAGTCAATCAATACCTGTAAGTCACTGTTAGTTAGTCCAGTATTACATCAGTCAGACACTCAGCTATTGCCCGAGGCAATCAGTCAATCAATACATGTAAGTCACTGTCAGTTAGTCCAGAGTTACTCCAGTCAGACACTCAGCTACTGCTGAGGCAATCAGTCAATCAATACATGTAAGTCACTGTCAGTTCGTCCAGTATTACATCAGTCAGACCCTCAGCTACTGCTGAGGCACTCAGTCAATCAATACATGTAAGTCACTGTCAGTTAGTCCAGAGTTACTCCAGTCAGACACTCAGCTACTGCTGAGGCAATCAGTCAATCAATACATGTAAGTCACTGTCAGTTCGTCCAGTATTACATCAGTCAGACCCTCAGCTTCTGCTGAGGCAATCAGTTAATCAATACATGTAAGTCACTGTCAGTTAGTCCAGAGTTACTCCAGTCAGACACTCAGCTACTGCTGAGGTAATCAGTCAATCAATACCTGTAAGTCACTGTTAGTTAGTCCAGTATTACATCAGTCAGACACTCAGCTATTACCCGAGGCAATCAGTCAATCAATACATGTAAGTCACTGTCAGTTAGTCCAGAGTTACTCCAGTCAGACACTCAGCTACTGCTGAGGTAATCAGTCAATCAATACATGTAAGTCACTGTTAGTTTGTCCAGTATTACATCAGCCAAACACACAGCTACTGCTGACAGAGGCAATCATGTAATCAATACATGAAAGTCACTCGCTGCGGCCGCACTTGGCAAGTTAACTGGGTTATTTTTTGAAAAACTCGGTAAAAAATTCTTCAGAATGTAACCTTGTTAAATAGTTGAACCAGGTTAATTTTTATCAGTGGTCAGACTCAAATTAGACTTTTCAAAGTCATTCAATGTCGCGTGGTCTTTTGATTTTTTCTTTTTCACTTGCTTGGGTTGTTCATAACCCTTGCACAAGAGTGACTGACAAAATTTATTATTATTTTATGTATTTACTGGAAATGCCTACCCTTTGATACCGAAGATTGATGGTGTGACCCCATATTACTGATAAAAAGAGATCAACTTCTTAAAACTTTAACTCAGTTGTGTTAAGAAAGAAAAAAGAAAAGCTGTAATTGGAGCGAAAGAAGTAATTTCGAAAATGGTTGTGGGCAAGGTAAAGCCAAAAATTGGACCATTCTAATCATTCTGACATGTAGGCAGACTCGATGATTGACAGATTGATAAGGTTAACCTGTGTTAAACGACCTCGTGATGTGGTTTGAAAAAACCTAACCTGGTTAAGAAAATCTATTGTTCTTGCTTGATCTGCATAACCTTTTTAGAACTCGGTTAAGACTGTAGAAAACCTGGTTGCACTCGCAGCTTTTTTGAGCGAGTTAACTTTAATAAGTTAATTGGAAATAACTCAGTTAAATCCCTCAGTGCGGCCGCAGCCACTGTCAGTTAGTCCAGTATTACATCAGTCAGACACACAGCTACTACTGAGGTAATGAGTCAATCAATACATGTAAGTCACTGTCAGTTAGTCCAGAGTTACTCCAGTCAGACACACAGCTACTACTGAGGTAATGAGTCAATCAATACATTCATAAGTCCCTGTCAGTTTGTCAAGTATTACACCAGTCAGACATAGAGCAACTGAGTGAGTTAGTAAGTCACTGTACATATTTTATAGAGTGAGGTTAGCAATAATGTCAGTCAGATACAGCCAAACATTCACCAAGTCCATTAGTTTAGTCTGACACTGAGCCCATGGGTCTGTCCAACAAAATGTCAGGGAGATTTTTATCACGGTTTTACTGAGTCAGTATTAAATACATGTAGATAGTCACTTGGTCAGATGGTCAGTCAACCACAGTGTTGCTGACGAACACAGAAGCAGCTACTGATTTTGTCTTTTAACCATGGAGCCACATAATCAGTCTAGCAACAAGGTCAATCACTCTGAAAGCTCCTGAATCACTCAGATGGTCACTAAGTCAGATGTCAGTCAACCAATGAGTCATTAATGATTCCACCAAGTCAGTCAGACAATCAACAGCTTCTGAGGCATTAAGCCAGCCATCAAAACCCACAGCCAGTCCATCAAAAAATAACCACTGAGCCAAATAATCAGTATAACAATAATGGCCATCAGTTCCAAAGTTCCTGAGTCATTCAGACAGTCGCTAGGTCAGTTGATGTTAGTCAACAACTGAGTCAATAAAACAAATTTTACATTTTGCCAAGTCAGTCAGACATCTAACATTTCTGAAGCAGTTACATGTAGCCAGCCATTGAGAAACACAGTCAATCCAGCAACAAAATTCTTTCTTTGAAATGGTCAATTAATTTACAGTAATTTCAATCAGTGAGCACACCACATTATCAATCTACCAATAACATCAATCAGTTTGATAGCTTCTAAGTCATTCAGACAGCTGCTATGTAAGTTGTCAGACAATCACTGCATCACTAAAACATTGCACCAAGTCAGTCAGACAATTAGCAGCTTCTGAGACAGTTAGCCAGCCATTGAGAAACACTGAATCAGTCCAGTAAAAATAATAATTTTCATTTACAATGGTCAATATAATTTCCATCAGTAAGAAGATCAGTTATTAATTGGTCCATCAACTGGGGCCACTTTTAAGGTTGCTGTGAAATCACTTATTCCGTCAGGCAGTCAATAATTTCTTGATCTCAAAACCAGTAAACCAGTTTTACTAGGTAAGGACAAATTTAAAGTGTAGCATGTACTGTAGATTGCATATCAATACTATTACCAGTTTAGTCCTAATGATTATTTTCAACAGAACTTGGCTTTGATTAAATAAAAAAACTGTGACGCAGCTGAACAAAGTAGATTAATGCTATCCCAGGAGAAAACTACAGGCAACAAGAAAGATTTTTGCATTAGTTGTCACTTCACCAACAATTGTACATCACCTGGAATTTAGCAATCATGATATCAATGTAAAATAAAGGTGTTGCTGGTATAAAAGAATTTGAGTTTCTGCAGCTGCTGTCATAACTGTTTTTCCCCTGCAGAAAAAGGGTGTTAGTGCACTGATAGTGCAATTTCGTACTTCTGTCTATGAATTCAATTGAAACAGAAAGAAGGATAGAATAAAGTTATTTTGATTAAAAAGCCAAATTAAATCAGAAATCATTTTCAATCATCACCAATGACTTAATTTGTTGAATGATGCTAGTTGCCGGCTGAATTGCTGGTTGAATTGCCAACAGTGTAGTATCCTGACTGTTAAGGAAAACATTCCACATGATGATCATCATCTTTAAACTTTTTGCTTTGGGAACTTTTGTATAATGATCGCCAGTCCTAGGTTCAAATAATTTGAATCACCACAAGTCAAATCAAAATGTGGTACAAAATTGTTGAGCCATCATATTATTATTTTGATCTATTGTCTAGCATGGAATTCTCCTTTTTGTACTTTGATTTGCTTGCAAAAAAGGAATTAATTTGCCTGGTTTATTGGAAACAGAAAGATTGATGAACTTCTACATGTAGTTCCAGCTGCTGTGGTACACTTGTTGGTGAAATAATAAAATAAAAAGAAAGAACTAGGTGCAGCTTTCCCTGGATTAGCTTAATGATACTTTGACCAAGCACAGGTTACAGTTCAGCTTATCTGGTTCACTCAAGAGCTGGATTACAAAATAGAATGTACAGCACTTACAGCACTGAAGATAAGCTGTCACTAAGTTTGGGCTGCTCATGAAGTCTTGGGGCATCTGATCTGGAAAGAAAAGTTGAAAATAATAATTATTATGTTATGCTCTTTAATTTTCTGATTATTAATTTCCAGAACAGACCTAATTCCAGTATTATATAATTTATTAGCAGGCATATTTGAATTTGGCATCTTGCCAGTGACATGATTAATGGAGCACACTCCGATTCAGCCATAAGAGGGAGCTTTAGCGTAGACAATGGTGACAGCAGCCAATACATCACTTTTAAAATCAGGGTTCGTAACTGGTTTTTTGGATCCAAAAATCAAGACTTTTTTCCAAAACAACAGTTTCTTTTTCGAGACTCAAGGTTATTAAAATCGGTGATCTATAAAGACCTTAAAAAAAGTAGGAACAAATGCTTTTTTCATGATTCAAAATTAGGCACAAAAACAAAAACAAATTTCAAGAGACTTTTTCAAGAATTGAAGACTCTGTGCTTCAGTGCATTTATTATTTTTTGACGAAATGTTAAATATGGGTGAACTTCCCTGGAGTTGATTTCTTGGAATGGTACTCGGAAAGAAAAATTTGTCTTACTTATTTATTTCCTCCATAACAAATGAAATTAGGCATTTTCATGTTGCAGTCATGCAGTGACTTATCAAAACAGTGTACTTATCAAAACCTATTGCTTTTTTGACATTCTCAATGCCGTGGTCAGTCTTCGTTGCTAAAGCTCCCTAATTACTGGAAAATAAGTGTCCCCTTCCTTTCTCAAGGGATAATTATCTCAAGCTTGCATATCAGGGAGGTTTGTCCTTCAAAGATGATCAATATAACTGTAACAAAAATCAGAAACTGAAAATGAACCACACTTACAGTAGTGAAGATAATCTCTATAACTAAATCCAGGATGCTGAAATTTTGATCCAATCTGGGGCATCTGATCTGGAAAAAAATTAAAATGTACCTCAGCTCATTAATTCACTCATCATTAATTTACTACATGTAAAATAACAACAATTTTCAGAACAGACCAAATTCTTGTATACCATGCTTGCATGAATATTTAATTAGCAGCCACATTTGAATAAGCACCTTGGCCTGATTACTATAAATGATCTGACAAGTGCCTGGTGCATAATTTATTAAATTCTGGGGGTGTATAAATTATTATAAGATAGCAGGCATTCAAAAGGAAGAGACATTCAATAGCATAACTAACCAGCTCAACAAAACTGATATGCTTTTAATTTCTCCAAAATATCACTTAATATGATGAGGTCTTCTAGAGATTCGCTCTTTCAAATCTCAATGTCATATCGATGTCAGCATTGAGAGTAGTATGACTGTTTCCTGGATAGGGGAACAAGTAGTGTCTCTTTCCCAGGTAGGAAAACACATATCACTGGTTAATTATGTTTCCTGGGTAAAGGAACACTTGTCACTACGGATATGTGTTTCTGGGTTAGGGCTTGAAGTTAACTTTTCAGTGCACTTGCAAATTTTTGCTAGTAAGATTTTTTCCACTAGCAAACTGGTGAGACCACCAGCAAATTCTTTCCCTTTGCTTTGGAGACGTGGATGATTCTAACTCGCAAATGTTTGCTAGTGGACATTTCTTTCACTTGCAGATTATCAAAATCACTCGCATTTTGTGAGCGTTGATTTCGAGCCCTGGGTAGGGGAAACACATTTCTGATATGGATATATGTGTTCCTGGGTAGGGGGGGACTTATCCCTCACCCAGGATATCACTAGAATGATGTGATATCCCTAGTGTAGGGGAACCGGGACTCCAAATTGGCACCCGTTCTAAAAAAACCTAAAATTGATACCCCATTCTAGAAATGGGTCTACAATTTGCCCTAAAACTGATACCCCGTTCTAGAAATGGGCTAATTTTTTATACTCCTTTCTAGGAAGTTTGTAAATTGAAATAGCCCTGTTTTTTAAAAAGATATTTCTTTACACATTCCTTAGTGTCACTGCTTCTTCATAATGGCAACAATTTTGTCAGAAGATAAATCCTTGATCAATTTTTATGTCGTTTTTCTCCCTGAAATGGATTGTTCTAAATCAGGAACTTCAAAATTATCCATGTATAGGTAGCCAATAGTGTCACTGTGGTCACATTTGTCAGTGTTGTCAATGTTGTCACTTTTCTCCCTTTTGTCACTGTTATCCCTGTAGTTAGCCAATAGGTAAGTCAGTCAGCAGGTCATTCATTCAGGCAGTCAGATAGTCAGCCACTCAGTCATTCGGAATGGCAAACAACTGAGCAAGGAAGTTTTGTGAATCACCTAAATGAATGTGTGTTGAAAGTGGATCCCAATTAGATTTTTCTTTTTGCTAATGACATAATGACAACGAACAATTTTTACTGGAAACTAAGTGTCCCCTTCCTTTCTCAAGGGATACCTCAAGCCTGCATATCAGGGAGGTCTGTCCTTCAAAGATGGTCAAATGAATATAACTGTAACAAAAATCAGAAACTTAAAATGTACCACACTTACAGTAATGAATATAATCTCTATAACTAAATCCAGGCTGCTGAAGTCTTGATCCAAACTGGGGGCATCTGATCTGGAAAAAAAATGAAAATGTACTTCAGCTCATTAATTTACTCACCATTAATTTACTGCATGTCGTGTACACGTAAAATAACAACAATTTCCAGAACAGACCAAATTCTAGTGAACCATACTTGCATGAATATTTAATTAGCAGCCACATTTCAATGAGCACCTTGGCCTGATTACTATAAACGATCTGACAAGTGCGTGTTGCATTTATTAAATTCTGGGGGTGTATAAATTATAAGATAGCAGGCATTAAAAAGGGAGAGATGTTCAATACCATAACTAACCAGCTCAACAAAACTGATATGCTTTTAATTTCTCCAAAATATCACTTAATATGATGAGGCCTTCTAGAGATTCGCTCTTTCAAATCTCAATGTCATATCTATGTCAGCATTGAGAGTGACTATTTCATGACTGTTTCCTGGATAGGGGAACAAGTAATATTTGTTTCCCAGGTAGGGAAACACATATCACTGGTTAATTATCTTTCCTGGGTAAAGGAACACTTATCACTACGGATATGTGTTTCTGGTTAGGGCTCGAAGTTAACTTTTCAGTGCACTTACAAATTTTTGTTAGTAAGATTTTTTCCACTAGGAAACTGGTGAGGCAAATTCTTTCCCTTTGCTTTGGAGACATGGATGAATCTAACTTGCAAATGTTTGCTAGTGGACATTTCTTTCACTTGCAGATTATCAAAATCAATCGCATTTTGTGGGCGTTAATTTTGAGCCCTGGGTAGGGGAAACACATTTCAGTAGGGATATGTGTTTCCTGAGTAGGGGACATATCATTAGAATTACATGTATGTGTTCCTGGGTAAGGGAACACTTATCCCTTACCCAGGAACACGTATTTCTAGTGATGTGTGCACCGTACCCGGGATACACATATCCTTAGTGTCAATGTTGTCACTGTTCCCCCTGTTGTCACTGTTATCCCTCAGCTGTTGTTAGCCAATAGGTAAGTCAGTCAGCAGGTCATTCGTTCAGGCAGTCAGATAGTCAGCCACTCAGTCATTTGGAATGGCAAACAACTGAGCAAGGTAGTTTTGTGAATCACCTAAATGAATGTGCATTGAAAGTGGATCCCAATTAGATTTTTCTTTTTGCTACTGACATAATGAAAAACAAACAATTTTTATGAATTCAAGACAATCTTTATGTGCCATATAGATGATAGGACTAGGCCTCCTGGATCCCTGCTCAGTGTTGGGCTTGACTAAAGACTACCCTTCAGAGAATTTAGCACAGAATCGAACTATTCAACAGCTGGGATATGTCCGCAGATGAGCAAAAAAAGCTGAAAAATTAATGGATGAGACTGGAAAATTTTGTCAAGCCACACTCCAATGAGCTAATAGCAGTGTGGGAGCTTCACAACCTTTGCCAAGGTACCCTCTCTCTCGAAGAATTTATTGCGAAACTGAGACTCCTTGTGAAGGAAGCCAACTATTCAGTCAAGAGCAATGATCGATTTGTGAGGGATTTCCTTGTGCTAGGAATGAATTCTGACTGTGTTTGAAAGGACTGGTTCAAAGTTGGAAATGCCCTCACCTTCAAGGAAGTTCGTGATATGGCAAAGTCAGGAGAGTCAGCAGACAAACAGCTTCAGCTAATGAATACCAAAGTATACTCCATCAATGTTCCAAAAAGATATCAATGCCAAGGAAACCAGCGACCAACCTCTAACACTGGCTCAAGTAAACTGCAAGCCTGCAGGAACTGTGGCTGGGGTACCCACCCTTGAGAGCAATGCCCCATGAAGAATGTTACATGTCACTTCTGCCAGAATTAAAGGTAGGACACTTAGCAAAGGTACATGTATGTTGATCAGAGTTAAAGAAGAATAATGTGCATGAAATTAAAGCAACCAGTGCGGGCGCAAGTGAATCAGTACCAGACCCTAGCTAGCCATCCTGTGATCACATGTTTATGGGCCCAGTGCAACACCCTTGACTAGCAGTGGCCATGTTGTCTCCTGTAAACAGAAGGCCCTTTTAAAGATGCACCTGGTACTGAGCCCCAAAGGAAAACAAACTCATGCCTTCTGTCAGATAGACTTGGGTGCAGAAACCAACATCATACCCAACTCCCTGTATAACCAGCTAAAGCCCACTATGAAGTTAACAGCATATGGTGGGAATGAAATCCCAAACTTGGGATCATGCCAAGTGTACGTTAAGGGTCCCGACAACCCATACCCCAAATCAGTACAGGCAGAAATTGTTGATGTCGATGACCCTGCTGTAAATAGGCAATATGTCAGCACAAAGTTTGAATCTTCTAAAGCTAAATTGGACAGTTGCTGTTGAGAGCAACAGCAAACCTGCCACTCAGGGCTTGAAACTGTTCCATTGACAAAAGAATATCTCCTGAAAGAGTATCAATTGAAGATGTGTTTACTGGTGATGTGTGCTTCCCAGGTTCTCCCATACCGCATAGAAACCAACCCGAACAATTACCCAGTACAATACCCTCCGAGGCAAGTCCCAGTCCAATAATTATTTAATAGTAATCGTATTGCCAGGTGCCTACCAAGAAGAGCTGGAATGACTAAGACAGGCAGATATCTCTGAACAAGAGCACAATGAATACACGCCATGGGTTAACTCTACTTTAGTTACAAGAAAGCCAAATGGCACAATTCGCCTTTGCCTGGACCCGCGCGACCTGAACAAAGCAATTCAATGCACCCCCTTCTATGTGAAAACCATAGATGATGTCATAGTCCCAAAGTCAGCAGTGCCTCCCATTTTAGCATCCTCAACACGCGGAGTGTGGGTTCTGGCAAGTAAAACTTGAAGATGACAGCAACAAACCCTGTACCTTCAGTACCCCATGAGGAAAGTACCGATGGAAAAGACTTCCATTTGGACTTACCTACGAGAGCATGATCAGCACATGCTAAGTGTCCTTGACACAGCACAGGACAATAATGTACAGTTCAACCCAGACAAGTTCCAGTTTAAAGTGGACCAAACATCTTTTTTGGGGCTTATGTGGATCCCGGATGGACTGAGAGCTGACAACCTCAAAATTAAAGCCATCACCGACATGACTTCCCCACAGAACCTTGCTGAGTTGCAGACCTTTATGGGAATGGTGAACTACCTGATTCTCCCCCATCATAACCTATGCCTCGGAACCCCTACAACAATTGATGAAGAAAGACACACCCTTTGTATGGCAACCAAAGCACCTCAGGGCTTTCCAGAATGTTAAACAAATCATCACTGAAAAACATGTGCTAGCCTACTATGACCCAGAAAAGGACAATGTGATCCAGTCTGATGGAAGCCTTAAAGGCATCTGTTGCATACTGATGCAGGACGGCAAGCCAGTGTGCTATGCAAGCAGATCACTCAGTGATATGGAATCCCAACACAGTAACATTGAGAGAGAGAGCTACTTGCTGCTAGTTGGTCCATAGACAGGTTCAACCACTATGTTTTTGGCAGAAGAGTAGTCATCAAAATGAACCACAAGCCACTAGAAAGCATATGGAAGAAGACCATACAGTGTACCTAGTGCATTGCCAAGGCTCCAGAGGCTAGGCTTTTGTCGATTGAGCTAGCATAATTTTAAGCATAATTTGGCAAAACGAGCACAATTCTTACCTTTTTTTTAAAGAAAAGCACTGCTAGCAGCTGTCCTTCTATGTTGTGACAAATTGTTGTAATTTTGTACTGAATATACTTCTACTTACTGAATTGTGTTTCTAGAAAGTTTCTTGAGGTAAGACGACTTGTCATAATTGTCACAAGTTTATCTCTGCATAGACGCTGTGCACTCGTCATGAAGTTGTTAGTGTACCACATAATATTAGATCTGGCCAAGAAACGTCTACGCCCTTACATTAGAACCAAAAGAGCAAATGATTTTATTACTTTTAAATTTTTAGATTAGTTTCATTACAATAAATTTTTATATATATTATAGTATCATTACTGTGAATTTTATCACTTGACAATTCAGTCTTTATTGCAAAGAGTGGAATAAATGATGTTTGTTTGTTTGTTTGTTTGGTCGTTGTCATGTTTCTTGGTTTCAGGCCCCATTCGTACTCAGTAGCAAGCTGCCTGGGATCTAAGATCAAAGATGGCATCCTCCTCGCCGAGCACTTGTGTTTACCCGCTGTTCAGCCTTTATTTCACTTAAAAACCAAGCGGCATAATTCAAATGCAAGGACAGCATAATTTGTAATTAATTTTTTAAGATACAGGTCCCTATGGAGACCAGCCTTAGAGCTGAATGGGCTACCCTGTGTAAATAAAGTTTTACTTTACTTTACTTTACTTCAGAGAAAAGAGCACAATTCCGGCATAATTTCCAAAAACTTTGAGCACTACCAGGAGCATAATATGCTCGTTTTTCGAGCACAATCGACAAAAGCCTACCGGAGACTTCTCCTGAAAATGGCTAAATACAATGTGGAAATGAGATACATCCAAGGGAAAACAAACAGTATTGCTGATGCCCTTTCCAGAGTCTGTTGCATGGAACCTCCTGAAGAAGACCAAGGTGTAACCCTTCTTGAAGTCAATGCGATTACAAACACCCTGCCTGCTTGCCCAGCTAAATTAGATGAAATGTGAAACCAAACAAGCCAGGACAGCCAGCTATCTGAAAGATGTCATTCCCCAAGGGTGGCCTGAGTATCCAAACGAATGCCCTTCAGACCAAAAGAATTCTGGAATTTCAGAGAAGACCTTTCTGTCAAAAAAAAGGTTTTATCCTAAAGGGACACCGGCCTCTGACCCTGAGTGACCTGCACACCCAGATGCTGCAAATCATCCTCCAAGGCCACCTTGGTGTAGAAAAGTGTCAGTTGAAAGCTAGAGACTGTATCTTTTGGCTGCGCATCTCAAAAGATATTATGAACATGACTGCTAACTGCCCCACCTACATACAGTTCTTGAAACATTAGCAAAAGGAACTCTTGCATCCTCACAATGTACCCAGTCTTCCCTGGCAAAAAGTTGCCACAGATCCGTTCGACTATCTGTTCGGCCATGTTGTGAAGAAGACGTCTAGACTAGACTTATGAGCCTCTACCTTTAGAACTCTTCTGGCATATTAACCATACAGAGACACTTGTCTTGTTTACCACTTTCTTTATCGGATTTTTTGTTGTTTATTAGATAGTTTTTTAACATCTATTTTTGCTGTTAGTGCTTGTTGGACAGTTTTGCTTCCCAGCTAGCTCATTTTAGGGTGGAGATGTTACATAATTATCCTTATGCATGCGCAGTGCATCAAGTCAAGCACATGTTCCTCTACGACCGAGCTTGTAATTCCTAGAGAGTAGGAAGATTATTGAAAACAAGTGTTTTGACCCAATGCATATCTTTTCAGGAAATAAACATATCAGCCTTTCATCACACCCAGTGGGAAGTTATGTTGCTTTGAAACTTTAATGCAACTCGACATCACAATCAATGACATCACTGCAACTACCATCCACATACCTGCCAACCCCCAGAGTACAAAAATCTGGAGACGTCTACAAATCTTTGCATTGTACGAATGTCATTTTCTATAATGTCCAAAAACTCTCTGAAAATCACCCAAAGGCCTTCAGAATGTAACAGCATGCAAAAACCACACCAACTTTCTACCATCTATTGTGCAATTTGATTGGTAGATTTCTGACCAATTATTATACTTGTTAAACATTTATCAATTTGACTGCTCTGCATTACATTTTCCATTTGAGTTCAGCTCAAATAAGAGCACTAAATCCACTTCTTGTTTTATTTTCCTTTTTGACCTCTCGAAAAAAATGAAATTGGTGAAAAAATTATGAAAAAGGTCACGGAAGGCATTTCCTGAGAGATTTGGTGCTCTAACCGGAACACCGGGAGATTTGATGAAAAACTTGGAGACTCCCGGGAAAACTGGAAGAGTTGGCAGGTATGTATCCAAAGCCAACTCATGTTTCTGCCTCTCTATGCGATACATGCACATTAATTTCCCAACTGATACAAAAGTCAACAACATAATAAACTCTCTCCATGAGGAAATATATCAAAACCCCGAAAGAGTTTTAGTTTATTTCAGTTATTTATTTCTGTCATTTATCAACAGAGCAATGACCTGCGCTTGTGACCTGTGACCTGTGACATGTATTCTGTACCTACCAAATTTCATGTTTCACCTTAATTTGTACCAGATCACCTAGATTTACTTGATGGTCTGAGCCATAAGTTTAATCTTTTAATTACCATCACCAATATTATTTGCTTATGAGACCATCGTTTTCTGCGAAATAGTCTTAAATTTAAGCTTAAGCTTAACTTCAATAAGCTAATTTTACATCAGCTTACCTCACAAGACCCGTGCAAGATTTTTCACGACTACTGCCACGCCAAGTGCGAGAATTTTTGGATCATGAATGAAGCCAAGTGTTGACGAGTAAGTAAAAGAACTGCTGAAGCGCAAAACCGAGTTCCAGAAGCCTAATTACGTTACTTTAGATCCAATTTACCACAAACGTGTTCTGTCTGGTCAATAACACGACGCCATATTGGTTTCAGTTAGAACCCAGTCTCTCGATTGGCGCGTGCGTCTCGCGCACGGGCTTTCGCAGTACTCGTTTCGCGTTTCTCGAGTACTCGTAAAACGCGCTCAAAGGAGTTAGGAAAATAAACATTTACATGCCTATTACTTGTTCATGAACTTTCGCGATTAAGAGTGAGATAAATGGTAAATATTACTTCTAACAGTAACGAGTACCTCAACTGTGTAATGAAACCAGTACATGAGGAATGTGAGTGCTGAAACCCTTATGAACTGTGAACGCAAAATATGTTTCGCTTATGCCCAGGAATCGAAGCACGATCTTAAATTTGAAAGTAATCCACCAACCTTGCGACTGCAAGCCTTTCAGTAAAATAGGCAGGCTGTCTCTCATTAACATCGAATTGAACCTATTCCAGGAGCTAGATTCCGCGGTTCATTGATCAGACTTGGTCAGACGGCTATACCATGCTGATTGGTTTGTCGCTATGGACTTGCTGATATTTCATATTTTGATGATCCCTAAAAATGACGCCCCTACGTCGAGACAGCTACCTGCCAACGCCGTGGTGATCGCTTTGCGCATGAATGTATTAGGTACTTGCCAGGTCGTGGGTGGGTGTACGTGTGCCAATAGACCTATTCGGCTAACTCAATGTTGTACCAAAATTCAAACCCTTTGGGAATAAAACGTTTTGTTTCAGGAATTTACATATCATTTAAATGTGAATGCCACATTATAATGCAAATACAATACACAAAGAATCTTATCCCCAGGAGATTTGAATTGGGTACAACATTGAGTTAGCCGAATAGGTCTATTGCTGTTAAGTTTGCTATAATCGGCGTATAGAACGCAAATAGATAGCTTCTAACCTTTTCCAGTAATTGAGTGGTTCCATCGAAATAATTGCGCCATTGCGTGTGACACCCGCGTGCAATTTTGATGACGGGGCCGCGCAAAGAATAAACAAGGAAAATGATGTTGGAAATGACCTTCATCGGAGGCAGGAGTCCTGTCGGAGGTGAATAAATTCCATTAGCTGTCATTATTTTCAGGAGAACCTTAAGCAGCGACGTTTTCAGTGAGCTACGCACGTCAACCGTTAAGAAGACTTTCTGCACACTTGAGCCGGTGATTTTGAACAAATTTTGGGGCAAATCGTCTCTTTAAGAGTAAAAAACACATAGCAATACAAATTTGGTTCTGCCGAGGCCGCCGAGGCATATTAAGGAAAAGGCTTACTTCTGGTTGACGAGCGTCGCTACTTAAACTCCCCGGATTGACCACACTGATGCATGTTTTGTCTACTTTGTCTGCCGTAAAATGGATCTGTTAATCCTTTTAGGCCCGTTTCAGACCAAAATGACAGATTTTCCTAAACTTTCATATACTTTTAAACTAGCGCAATCCGTGGCCCTACCCTTTCGTTTACCAGAAGTATGAAAACAGTGAAAACGGTAGTCGACAGATTTTGCTGAGTGATCCCGGTTTTCAAAACATGAAGAAACCGAGACGAGGATCTATTATATCACTGAGGAAGGGATGGGGTACCGTGCGAGCAGAGTTTCTGTCTTGCATGGCTTTTAGCGCTTGTCAGTCACATAGTTCGCATAAAACAAACCAAATACGTGACTGACAAGCGATGCGAACTAGTCGTAATATAAACGTGTAAAGCTATCTGTTCGCAGGGTAGGGATGGGGCATGATTCAAATAAACACATAACACAAAAATTCGTCTAACAATATATTGACTTTCAATCCCTCTTCTAAAATTTTTCCAATAAACTGGATTATGTTATCCATCGCTGTTCTCATTTTTAAACAGAGTATTTTCAAGTTCACAGTCAAAGAGAAAATGATACATACAACAAATTTTCGAATACAACTGATCTTTTAATGCTTTTCTTCTATGAGGTAAAGTTGTTTACATGAAGAGCACATTCAAATATATGAAAAAATAAGCAAAGATATCTTTTTTTTTGTAAATTAAGACGACCATAAAACCTATTACTTTAACCAATAATATATTCTAAATGGAAACTCATGCATGTAACTAGGAAGATAAGCAAGTACGTAAGAAATTAGGTAAGCAAGCAATTTAAGCAAGAGAGAAAAAAGTAAACACGTGTAAGGCCTGTTTCAAACGTCGTGCTATTGCCGTTCTAAGCTGGATCCAGCCTAGTCCCCAGGCGTTTTCGGCTTGGTCATTCCTGGACTCTACCCTGAGCTGTGACGTCACCGAGAGATACTCTCTCGCCCGCTCTCTCCCAGACTTCGAGCGGACAACGGATCGAGAGAGAACGCCTAGGGACTAGGCTGAGCTGGTTCGACTTCAGCACGACTGTAGCACGACTGAATAAAATAGTTGTTGAGGAAAACAAAACTTTAAAATAAAAAGCGGTTTAGTGAACTTTTAAAATGTATTCTAATGTATTTATAATTTATGAATTGAGCTTGCCGTGCTACACGGGAGTAGCACGACTTGGTTTCAAACGCCGCTAAAGTCGAATTTGTTTCGATCAGTTTAGTTCGGCACGGTAGTAGCACGACGTTTGAAACGGGCCTGAGTAAGTAAGTAAGTATTTAAGTAATATATTGGTGAGTCAGTAAGTAAGTAAGTAAGTAATTATTAAGTAACTAACTAACTAAGTAATATATTGGTGAGTGAGTAAGTAAGTAAGTAAGTCAAGTAAGAAAAATAAGTTGGTGAGTGAGTAAGTAAGTTAGTAAGTGAGTAAGTAAGTAAGTAAGTAAGTAAGTAAGTAATTATTCTAAGTAAGTAACTCAGTTTCATAAGTAGTACATAACTAACTAGCTACCTCCATATGGAGCCTTATCGAAAGAAAATTAAGTGGAGATAATAATAAATAAACTAATAAATAACTATTTGGTAGCATTGAATCCACATTGAGACAATTCTGGATCAAACTGAAATTAGAAATGTTTGCTTTTGAAGCAGTGAATCCTGCATGGATTACTCGGAGAAAAACCTTTACGAGCCAAAGGCAACAACAGGAAACTGATCAAACTCATCCCACACGCGGGAAACTGAGGGGCGGACAAACTAATCTCAACACCAATAAACCACATAGTTTTTTTTTTGCAGAATACCAATGTATTAGAAAACTGCAGGTCATCTTAGGGTGGTGGTGGTGGTGGGGGGTGCCCACCCCCTGCACCCTACCCCTAGATCCGCCCCTGTATCGGTAAGAGGAGCGTGTTCGTTTCGCTGCAATAAACCCTTATTCCCATCTGGTTAGCAGATAGGTAGAGGTGGTATGACGGTAAAATTCTCTAGGAGCTCCAATGAAACAATGGTACACCCTTTGAAATTGTGATATATAGCAGCGACTGGCGGGCTAGTAGAAATCTCACCACTTATTAAGTAGTCAACAGGTATGAACAGGTTTTAATGCAATGGTTGGCCTATTATTTTATTTTCAAAAAATTAATTTTTGATAGCGCCCGTGTTGAGTTTGTCTTTGTTTTATGATGTCCTAACACAATGCAAAAAGGCTTGTTTTGATTTAAACCAATCAATGGTTCAGTATACCAATAATCAACTATATACAGCGTATATATCCTGAACTCGTCGAGGATTTCACGTGCGTATGTAGTTTTGCCTGTTACGTTCTCCTTCTTTTCTAAGTACCCTCCGTTTCACGAATTCTTTTTATGTTACTTGAATGTGCTTAGCAAAGCAACTATAATTCCAATAAATAAGATCATAAACTGGATTCCTAAATTTATAATGACCAAAAGCTAACGAGTTTTAGTCAAAACCTCTCAAAGCCTGTGTTTTAGCACATCTCCCAGTTTTCGCTCGGCTTTTTTTTTTCGTGCCACAATTGCAACAAAACAAAAGCCATTAAGAAAACTTGTATCCATTGTAAGAATGATTTAGTCGTATGCTAATGTGGAAAAATGCAAACAATGAAGCCACCAAGGATCTTCCTATATGTGTAAAAAGTTGTGAGATCTTAACGATTTGTCTATTTACAGCAATGTCACGTGACACTTGAATTAGGAAGTATGAACGATGCTTAGCAGTCTTGCTAAAATATGTCTGTATTGCAATTAGTCCTAAATGATAAATAGTGTCGGTATTTTCTCCAAGCTACAATGCTATAAATAAGATCGACCTATATATGGAATGTAGTTAGGTTTACGTGGCATAGTTTGCATAGAGGCTTTTTATACTATAGTCAGATTCGAAAAATATTGCAACGATTAGGACGTCTGACATCTAACAGATACTTTATATGAAAGTTAGAATATTAAAGTTTTGAAGAGTTTCATTTGCTTGGGAGAGTTTGGTATTGCTTTGGCTCCAACAACTTTCTTGTACAAATTCCTTAAATTTGCAAAACTTTCAACAATCAAAATTCATCATCTTTAAGCATCAATCTTGGTATAAATCTCAAATAAAGAAGCCCCCTTCTCTAATAAGCCCTCCCCCATTCTCAAGGGAAGAGACTTATTAAGCCCCCCCCAATTATTCTTTACTAATAAATGTCAGACTGTATTAATCAGTTGCGACTATAAAACCTTGTATGGACTGGTCCGGGATGGTTTATTCACCAACTGGAAGTTCGGATTTATTTTTGATCCTTGGCTGCTTGACCTCCAACTACTTGTACTTGAGCTTTTCCACATTTTTTCTGGTTCTTTATGGAGAAATGGCTTAATAGAGGATTTACGGTTATATATATAGTTGAGATTACTAGATTGCAACTGCAAACAAGCAATCGATGCAAACGACTAGTCCCGGCTAGTGCATGTCTACACTTCGATTATGCTACGTACAAATGTGTTGCTGAATTAAAGTACTGCTCATATTGGCTATACATACAGACTTTCTATGCACTTTAAAATCTTCCTTGTCTTCAAGCACCCTCTGGCATCGTTTCTCCGCAATACTCACGATGGTTTTGTGGGCGGAATACAATGGAACTTTCCAAGACTTCATCGCGCCCTAGCGGCGCATGGGGCTGAGGCAGACCGGAAGTCAGTGTCTCGTGCTGAATTCCACCTTGTATGGCAACTGTTAAAAATAATTGCTCCTAACCCATAAATGCGTGTGACTCCTACCTTGGGGAATGTTTCTGGGCAAAACCATCTTCTAGTGACCAACATTTCTACTGGTTATCGGTTCTCCTGGAGTTAGCTGCTAAACACATTTCTACAGCTAACAAAATTCTAATCCTGAAGTATTGTCTCATTCGTCTGCAGGACTTGGTATACAACAGGAAGTGTGTTTTCTGCAGGTTTTGTTATTATTTTCTTGCAGGACTTGGACACAGTCATCTCGTTTCATTTCCTTTAAAATTCTGACGAGAACATCGACAGTCGACCCATCTTGTTGACTCCACTCGCTCAAAAGAGATTGCGTCGCTTCTTCGGGATCCAGTTCGAAGTTTTTGACATGGTTGTTTGTGAATCCCAGGCGTCCTGCAAGTTTTGCCCAGTTGTTATACGACTTGGGATTTAAGAGTCTTCCTAATTCGATGATCACATTTCCAGGTAGGTCCCGAACAAGCATCTTGTCTGCAAAAAAATGATACCTTGTTGTTAATTAATTTCGCGGGTTTTTATGCATTTTGCTTGTTCCAGTTTATCTCGATATTTTAAAAACTTTAGACGTTTGAAAAATAAAACAAATTTGAGAACACTTGAATCGCGAAATTTAATGCCCTTTTTGATACTTGCCTATTGAAATCGCGAATTAGCGTACGTTATTTCACAACAGAAGATACAAAATGAAACTTACCAGTTAAGGTGTATTTGTCGATATATTTCCTGTATATATCGTTGTTGGCACATGTTTATCTTATTTTTCCCTTGTGATTTGAATTTTCTATATGGGGATTAAATTTCGCGATTTTTTAACAATTTCGAAAAACGCGAAATAAAGTTCCAATAAGGTATTACTCTACTTACTCTTGCTATTTTCGTACTGCGAGTAACGAGCTAGTATCGGTGTCGCTGACACAGGTGTCATTGGAATTGAAAGATGGTACTTCCTGATTCCTTTTTCTTCTGCAAATTACGACAATGAAAAAGTCTTGTAAAACGTATTGCCAGTGCTAAGAATAAAAACCATTCCAAGACGGTACACCCATGGTTTTGCAGGCACGAGTCTATGCTCCAGACCGTGAAGCAGGGGAGGGGAAAGCTAGGAAGCACTGATCAGTAACTTGTGATAAGAGGGGACTGCTCCGGAAACTTTTTCTCTGTCCTGAAGGCCTCGGTTTTGATCTTACAATAAAACGCAGCCGCGCCCCTCTTCCCCCCTCCCTCCCACACACATGACCCTCTTCTCGTTCCCCAGCTGGTACGAATGTGATCACAAGCCAATCATGCAACGTTTGTAGGAGACATTGTTGCACCAGGGCTTGATAAATGGGGCCAGACCACAATATTTTCAAAGGTTTTGATATTTTCACTCATCATTTTATGTGCTTTTAAGGAGCTTTTTCTAGGAAATTAGGGACCAGTAATGCAGTTCCCGTCGCAAGTTCGTTTCAGAATAAAGTGATAAAGATCATGTTAATTTTTGTTGAACCTCTATTAACCAGCCAATATCTCCATAAAGGGGCCAATTGCCGGTAACCGAGGGTGTCCGCTTCATGGAGGTTTAACTGTAATACCCTTGGGGTTGATTTTCCGTGGGGAAGAGAAACACAAACATGTCGTTTTTCACTGACTGGAATGGCAGCAGGGCCTGCGTGGCAGCTGCCCACGGGTCGTCTTGACCATTTGTATAGACATTTGTTTAGAGTGTCTGACACAGACTATGGCAGCATTTTAAGACGGAAGCCATCAGAAATATTGAGTGTTTTAATTTTCAGTGGACAAAAACCTTGTACCAGAATATATAATTTATGCAACATCGCATTCTTTTTTAAATTTTTTAAGGGCTATGGATATAATTGGTTATCTGTAATAACACCAAAGACTATTATTTGTCATGGGAGCCTGAGAAAATAAATGTGAAATTTCACAATTGCAAGAATTGTGAAAACACAGATAAAATCACCCTGTAAAATTCTGAAAATTTTATGTAAGGTGTCATGTTGTGAAATTTGACATTCACTTTCTTGGGCTCTCATAACAAATTTTCTTTGGTGTTATTACAGATAACTAATTATATCTATAACCCTGGAAAAACGTATAAAAGAATGCGATATTCTGTAAATTATTCTGGTAAAAGGTTTTCGTCCACTAAAAATTAAAATTAGACAATTTCCTGATGGATTCCGTCTTAATCTGTTACGATGGCCACTTTAGTTATTAACCTTAGCTGATCGATAAAATGAATTTCGAGTCTTATACTGTTCTTACCTGGAGGATAATTTGCGTTTTTGCCACATTCACGTCTTCGTTTCATTGCGAAGAACAACGCAACACTAATAATGGCAGCTGGAATAAGGCCAACAAAAGTGATGCCAAGAATTAAATAAACACGTTGCGGGGACGTTCCTCCGTTTGTTCTTTTTTTGAATCTTTGAGGTTCTTGAGGTTCTTGAGGTTCTTCTTCTTTATTAGGCGGCGTGGTCTTTGAACCGTCTGAAAGAGGAATTCATCATCAGAACGAGATAGCGGTTTGGATACAATTCAAAGTCATATATAACAGCTTAGCTATTTGAGAGGTTCCTGTGGTACTACTCCCATATACGGTAGATTTCAAGAGACAGGGATGTTGGTCGGAAAATTAGAATCCCTGTGAGATGCTATTCTTGAACAGCGCCATTACCCATAAAATATACCTCATCATCTTGTTGAGAAGATGAAAGGCTTTCCACTGACAAAATAATGCTGCATATCAAAAACTTTGGGAAGGGTTCCATCATGCATCACCCCCCCATTCCGTCGTACCACGGTGGGGGTATGACTTTGTGTGTACGTTCGAGGGTTAAAGGAACCGACAAGGTAAGACACAGGTTACTCACTCACCAGAGATAAAGCTCTGTGGTGTTGTCGTGACAGTAGGTTGACTTGTCATTCTCTCGCAGATGGTGTCTCTGGACGCATTGCAGTTTTCTTTTAAAACTTTGTTCCGAGATGCCCTGCATTTGGAGCATCTCTTACATCTTTGCTCGAAATTTTCCTTGTCAGAAAATGTGCCCTAAATAAAAAAGTAAATTTAACATCTTTCGCGCTATTTTAAAGCCCGGGGTACTCTCAACAATGGCCTTTACAGGATTGGCAAAGCTAAGAGTTAATTAATCATGAAAATATACAAAGATGGTGACGAAGTCAAATACCCATAACACAAGTTGACTTCATGAATTTCCATGAATTTTCATGAATTTCCAGCTTCAAATGTTTCCCTCGGCTCCGCCTCGGGAAACATTGAGATTCTCGCGAGACAAAATTAACTGGTTCCCAAGGGACCAGTCATTAAGTGTTTTTAAACTATTAAAATATAATACATACCTTTGAGCACGGCTGACATTTCGTGTCCTTTGTTGATGTGCACTCTGCCACAACCCCTTCACCCACGGGACATTCTGAGCATTTTTTACAGAAGAGGAGTTCCTCATCGAAGAATTTACCGGGCGGGCAAACACATTCTCTGTTTTGAGTCGAATTACACTCCACAATTGCAACTTGTGAAAAACTACATTCTGAGCAGGGCAGGCATTTAGTACTGTTATTCTCTTTGTCCATATACGTAGAAGGCTGTTTAAGCAGAAATGAAACAAAAACAGTAAAAACCTAAGACATGCGAGGACATCTTTAGCTAGGTTTTAACATAGTAGGGTTAGAAAATTGGTTATGAAATCCGCCGGCAAACATCAAAGATGAAAACTAAAGGAGCTGTAGTTTATTTAGGGTTTGGAACTGGGTAAATGAAATTTAGTTCAAGGACAAAATTGAACCACACCTTTAATTTCCGTTGAGAGAAGCCAAAGCTTACAGAACGGCGTGACCAAACAATGAGCGTCTCCTCTCCCGACTGCAGGCTTTAGGGGGTCTTAGAGGGAGTTTAGGGTTTGCTTCTTTTTTTCGAGAGCTCAACGTTTCTTTTTTCGTGGCATGGAAAACATTTCGTCGTAATAATTAAGTAAAAAAGTAAATTTGTTAGAAGATTTCCGACTTCCAAAACGAGGCTAAGTGCAATCTTTGTTGTGAAAATGAGTTTATTTGTATGAGGACAGTTGCGACCTTCACTGACATTCCCCATCGTGCAATTTGTTTTTCCCACAAATATTGTTGTTAATTTCTCTTGCGACTAATCATCCCTTGGTGAGGGGAAGACAAATTGCGTCATGGGAACATGAAATTGGCAGATAAAAAAATCATTTTTTATCAATGGCTTCGCATTTAGCATCGCTTTGAAACAGAGACTTCAGGCAACTCGGAAATTGCCTATGTTACCTAGCATATTCTTTACCGGACAAGGTTCGCAGACGTGACATTCCTTGCTTTCATTGTAGACACGAAAATGGCCTTTTTTACAGCTTTCGGAACACGTTCCCTCACTAAACGCACATAACAAACATAGGTCTGCTGCAATGACGAATGAAATCTACGTAAAAAAGAAAAAAATATAGTTATTAAAAAAATAAAACAGTCCAATAACTAAAAAGTATCATAAAAATAAGTAAATAAATATATCGTAAAAAATAAAACAACAAAATAAAGATAAAAGTTGAAAACATTAACCCCATTTGAATAAACGAGTTAAAATTTGTTTTTGTTTTTTTACTGCTGCTCTGGTGAGTTAAAACTACCGTACTTTGTTCAGTATCTCTTTATCTCCATGTATCAATCAATTTCAAATTTACAAAAATCTATTTATCATTAATTTATTATGTTTTATTATCAATTATCATACTAACGACCGGTTGCTTGAGCCTGGGATACTACTGATACTAAAGCCTGGTTGTCATCGGCCGCCGATGTACCTGGGAAGTAGCCGCCGGTACCGCCCGGGCTACTTCTCGGACGAATGAGAACACGCGACGCAGACAACTAGAGCCATCGCACAGCTCTACCGCCGGCATTCCTGCGAAGTTGAACTCGAGTCACCTTCGCAGGCATGCCGGGGGTAAAGACTGGGATGACCAATGTTGCCGGCCACTTCTATTCTCATATCAGAACAGTATCCCAGGCAGTACCGGCGGCCATGTCGAAGGTGCAACGGCCGCATATGAGACTTAATTAACGGCGGCATAGGGGACTTAAGCGATCGATTCCTCCAGACGCTTTTTTGGTCGGTTGGATTTCCCATCGTTCACTTTTTGCACTATTACAAGATGTTAGCACATGCATTACAAAATATTACAAGAACAGAAAAGAAAAAGAAAGAATAACAACAAATCACACACATAGTGAAATAAAAAATTCTAAAATGTGCATAGTGACCAAAGTAGCATTATCGACTTTTGAGTTGGTCACGGGTCACGTGCAATCAACTGGCGTAATTACTTTTACATAAAATTACAAGAATTGAGATAGAAAAAATTAAGAGAGTAAAGTCCCACTTACATTTTCATATAAAAAGCAACAGAAAGTGATAGATAATAGCATTAATAATTATTAAAAGTAAGCTCTGGCAGATATAAAATATTTATTACCCTTTGCGGTACAAAAGTTTAGAAGATACAGCTTGTATTGCTTGCAAAAGTGGTTCTGAGTATTTTTTTTTTAATTCAAGGGAATAGTACATACAAGTTTTAAAATAATACATTTGCCAAGAAAAAGAAGCCGAGAAGCGCCCAGTGATCTCTACGAACACGGTTCATGAAGCTAGAGGGTTATTCGGCCTAAAGAATTTAACACTGAAGTTCGAGGTACAAGGTACGTACTCTGTCTGCTATAGCTAGTGATGCCAGACGCATTTTTGACTCAATATCGAATGGGAAGATACTGCAGCTTAAACTATAACCTTTTCAAAGACTAATAATAGATCACTGTTCAGCTGACGATTCTCGTGAATGATTTAATTTGTTTAAAGTTAATGCTAGGAAAAAACACTTTTAGATTTTCAGGTGCGATTCTTTCTAATAATTTACCCACATCAATAAAAGAAGCTACGTCGCATGTTTCCCGTTTTAAGAACTTTCTTAGGTTTCATTTAAGCCATTAGTTGTTTCTTATTAATATAATTTTACCGAACTTCGATAGCTGTCTTATTTTTCTTGATCTTAAACAAATTATGATGATATGTAATTTCCCTTTTAGGCACTTTTTGAAATCTTTGTACATAATTTTAAAGTAATTTTTAAATTAAACGCCACATCAAAGGGGCAAAACGGCAGGTCACCGTGCTGCAGTTAAATAGACAAGACCAGATAGTTACCTATCATTTTATAACGAGCTGAATTTGCCTAAAATTGTATTTCCTGATAGAAACTTTTTTCAATTCTTTTTTTCGGAACAACTAGCCATGATCTGAAATTCAGAATTCATCATTTCTAAACTAAAGTCATTTTTCTTGGTATAAGCACACCTTACCTTTGTGAATTTTGTTTACATATTTAATTTAAATGGCAAAATGATAATAAACTAAATAAATAGAATGATCATCTTCGAAGATGTTACTCTTGGTTTTTCCAGGAGCCTATCCTGGTTTTTCCGTAGATTGATATAAATTTTTATCAATTTGGAAGTCATCAAAAGCCCTCTTGGTTTTGATGGTTGCAGTTTTAAGCTTTATTTTATATCCAGTTAAGGCGGAACATAAAGATGTAAATAATTCAAGGAAATAGTACATACAAGTGTTAAAATAATACATTTGCCCTGAAAAAGAGGCCGAGAAGTGCCTAGTGATCTCTACGAACTCGGTTCATGAAGCTAGAGGGTTATTCGGCCTAAAGAATTTAACACTGAAGTTCGAGGTACAAGGTACGTACTCTGTCTGCTATAGCTAGTGATGACAGACGCATTTTTGACTCAATGTCGAATGGGAAGATACTGCAGCTTAAACTATAACCTTTTCAAAGACTAAAATTAGATCACTGTTCAGCTGACGATTCTCGTGAATGATTTAATTTGTTTAAAGTTAATGCTAGGAAAAAACAATTTTAGACTTTCAGGTGAGGTTCTTTTTAATAATTTACCCACATCAATGAAAGAAGCTATGTCGCTCTCCCGTTTTAAGAACTTTCTTAGATTTCATTTAAGCCATTAGTTGTTTCTTATTAATATAACTTTACCTAACTTCGATAGCTGTCTTATTTTTCTTGATCTTAAACAAATTATGATGATATGTAATTTGCCTATAGGCACTTTTTAAAATCCTTTTACATAATTTTAAAGTAATTTTTAATTTTTTAAATTTTCAATATCATGTAGTTATAATTTACGCAGGGCCCCTTTTGATACCAACCAATGACTGATAGGGCTACCCTGCCTAAATTAAGTTGACTTGACTTGACTTTATACTCATCGCAGTTAGTAGCTCTGAAATGCCTTAAGCTAATATGAACGAAGTAGAGGTCTTTTTTCAGTCGCTTGTACGTAAGAAATGAAATTTAGCAAAAATTAAGCCTAAAATGTCTTTGCATACACGGAGATCAGCACTTGATAAAATTAACGCTGGGCTATGGTTGTTCAAGTTTGCCCGAATACTAGAAATATCCCTTCCTTTAATGTTTGGTCTTCTATGCATCGATGCATGGGTTTCCTTACTCTATCTACTTTTGTACTTATTTTGTGTTTCTCACAGTCTTTTTCACTTTGAATTTGATCGATATTTCAGACGATTCTCTGTGTAAAACAAACCTCTCCCAGGGGGAGGGGTACTCCACAAAGTTTTATAAGGAAAGGCTGCGCCCAACGGTCCAACCCCATTACCCTTTTACATATAGCTTTTGGCAGAAAAGGAAACCCTTTCCTACACTGTGCCTTCTATTGACAAATGGTACCCCTTTCACATACATAGTTTAAAACATTGAATCCCTTTAAATTGCCGTAAATGTATGTGCTCAAAATACGAAAAAATCCCCAAACTAGGAAATTTTCTCGGCTCTTTCACAGCCATAAATTCTTCTATTAGCCCTTTAGGTCTTTTTACAGATGAAAATGACAGAAATGACAGATTTCCCAACTCTTTTATATAATCCAACTAGTGAAATGCCTATCCTTGTTGTATACCTGACGCCTGAAAAAGGTACCCCTTTCAAGGAGAAACTTCCAGTCTAGGCCATTATTGGGAGTACACCCCTCCCCCCTCACCCGCGACATGCGCAGTACTTTTTACAGGCCAGATCATCAAAAGGGCAAAACGGCAGGTCACCAGTGCTGCAGCTAAATAGACAAGACCAGAAGTGTCTCCTACCAGCCCTTATCCCTTTCCAAAACGTTGTTGCTTTTAAATGGAGGGTTGATTTAGTTACCTATCATATTATAACGAGCCGAATTTGCTTACAATTGCGTTCCCTGATAGGCCCTTTTTTAATTCTTTTTTTCGGAACAACTAGCCATTATCTGAAATTCAGAATGCCTCTAGTATTGCTGTTTTCACTTCTAAGCTAAAGTCATTTTTCTTGGTATAAGCACACCTTACTTCTCTTAATGCTTGTGTATAGTTTTTCGCTTCTTTCGCTCTGACTTTTCCTCTCGTATTCTTGCGTTATTTCACCTCACTTTTTCTTTTTCGTTTTTGCACTTACACTTTCAGCGTCCTTTTTTATCCTATTTAATGATTACATTTTCTACGTTGTAAAGAAATTGTATGTGATTTGTTAAATTGTCTTGCCGATGCCAGTGTTACATTCATTAATTAAGTTATATATTTTTAAAAGGTGGTCCTTTTGATAAGTCTTAGTGGCTTCCTTGGCTTCCCCTGCCTCTGAAGATGTTACTCTTGGTTTTTCTTGTTATAGACTGTAATAAATTTTGATCAATTTGGAAGTCATCAAAAGCCCTCTTGGTTTTGATGGTTGCAGTTAAGCTTTATTTTATTCGGTTAAGCCGGAACATAAACATATAAACAAATTCTTGCTTGTGAAGCGCTCGTGCACTAGTTTAGGTTCTCGTGATTTATGTTTTGATAATTTTTAAATTGCATTTACTATAAAGCGCCTATAAAACTTGATGCTATTAATCTCGAAATAAACACAATATATACGAACGTTGCGTTCAGCAGTGTCATTATCTAAAAAGACAAAAAAGTATTAAACTGAGCTTGTAAAAGGAAATTACTTAAGCTCATACTGAACCGCACACAAAAAGTTGTTGAATTCAAATAATCGATTTTCTATGTTTTCTCTCGGCAATTTCCATGGTCATTCAACCGTTCGCGATTGCACTTCGCCTTTGTTTACCTTAATCCGTTTTACAGGCATTGGTGCTTAAAGAGAAACTTGGTTAGTTTTGCAATATAAAATTGTCCCAACGAACTCATAACTATAAACAAAATAAGCCGTTAAGAAATCAAGCGAAATATATATTCAGTACTCAAGTTAAATCAACGATTCCGTTAAGATTAATGATCTTTATAATTTGAATTTATTTTTGGCACTATTTTACAAAAAAAAAAAGAAAACTTGAACACGTATTCATTAGTTCAATGGAATGATGATCAAAGTTCACACGTGTGTGCGTGACTGCGACATCATGTTTCACGTTCCTTTAGCTGTTGCGAACTTTAATTCTGACAATTTTTTTTTCTTTTTACCAAACGAAATTTCTATACCGGTCATTATAACCGAAAAATTAATTCGAAACAATTTTTTTGACAAAAATGGACAAAAGTAGCCTCCATTGGACAGTTAGGTAAAATCCTTTGCGCCGAAGCTACAATAGCCAGCGAACGCAAACGTATATCCGGTTGTCGATTACGAAAACCGGAAATGCGTCTGCGTTCGCAACTTTGCCGTACAAAAATGAATGTTGTACAATAGTCATAGTTTTGATAAATTTTGCAAAAAGCTTTCTAATACATTTTTTGTTTGTTTGTTTGCTTATTTCTTTTGAAAAATTATATTTGGTGAGTTTATTTGGTTCACTAAATTAATCAGAGAAAGACAGCTCGTTTAAAGTGCTCTAACTTGATTAAAGTGCTCTAACTTGATGCAGGGACTTTCCCCTGAGACCACGAAAGGTTTTTTGCTAAAGGTTACAAAAGAGTGCAAGGAGCACATTACTCATAGTACAAATCACCTTAAAAAATAGCATTAATTGACTGCTGTAAGATGCCCACGCTGAGCTACAGATTGATTTGTACAAAACTGAATCTCTCAATTAAAAAGAATTAATAAATTTTGGAAGACAGTTTTGAGTCAACATGATTGATTGTTTTAGCTGAATGAATTTCCTGAACTTGTTTATTTGAAATGTACAGTACAAATACATAAAATAAAATAGAAATGTAAACCTGGTTATAATCTGTCTTTGTTGATATTCGGTTAGCTAGCCCGTAAACTGTAAACAGAAAGCGATTTAGAAGTAATGTTCACTTACTATTTGACGTAGTTTATGGTGCCTTCCACCCATTGAAAGTTTGCCCTCGTTACCAAAAATTGTGCTTTCTCTTTCCAAGTGACAGCTCAATAAAATACTTAGAGAGGTAACTGAATTTTTAAAAACAACTCAACTAGTACGGAAGTCACGTTGACGGGATATCACGATGGAATCAGAAGTTCTGCACGCACCGACTTGGTTGCTGACCACGCCTGGGGTCAAGGCAACCAAGTTCTGATAGTCAGTCTTGGGGGAAGGATGCTGCTGTGTTAAGTGGGTTAGTCAGAAAAAGGAGGAGAAATCAAAAGGTGACGGTCTGAAAAAGTGTCGTTTAGTCAACTAGTCAACTAGTCAACTAAAGAGTGTAGGAAATATACTCGTGGATGACTTGATTCTGTGACACGTTTAACAAGGTTGCAAAATTGGCCGATTTGGGACACCGCATAAAAATATACAGAGACTAGCTTTCAATTTCGGGCTCATTTACTATCGAACAATCATTTGTAGAACAGGTCCGAAGCTAGGGGTGCTTCGCATCCTGCAAACCTACACTTGAGTACACAATAGTAACGCAATTCGCTTCGAAATGACTTCGATAGCGCCCGACAAAAAGCCTCGGATTGTAAGGCATAGCTATATTACCCCATATATATATATGCATCACACTTGAAACAATAAATTAAAAACTGAGTACTAATGCATTATTGGGGCCATTAAGCTTTCAATTTATTGACATCAATTCAATTCAACTCCATCTCAGTTTAGAAGGGTACGTGTCATTCATTGGCTCCATTAATTTGTAAATAAGCAAGCTTTGAATATAAATATATAAATATTCATTTCCCTTTGTAATAATGATCATAAAATCATGGTCCAAAGTTCGTCCCTTCCAGTGTAACTTCGTATCTGGCCTCATAGTAACAAAATAATCTTTAACTTAAAATCTTTGATCCCAAAAAGCCATGTTGTTCAAGATGGTCACATTAGTTCGTGAAAAAATATCTTTGACCCGGCTGGTGATCATTTTATCAGAATTTCCTCGACGTACAAAGACTACCTCTCAACTGACTTTCTCCACGTTTTACATCTTAACAGTATAACTACTGCCTTATAAGGGCGGGGTGCATTAAAATTAAATTAAGAGTTCCAGCAGTTCTCCTGTCCTGATGTGACCAGGGGCCCGTTTCTCGAAAGACCCGGAAACTTTTCAAGCCCGAAGGCAAATTTTAAAGTCAAAAAAGTTCCTAGCAGCTCACAAACCAGTCAATCTTGCTTCGTTAACAGATAGTTTTATTATATCATTTTCAAAATTATCGGAGAGTGAAGAGTAAAACAATATGTTTTTCGTCTCTCACCTATATTTCGGCCGTGTTAAACGGCCTTCAGAGATATATATATAGTCAATCCTGCTTCGTTAACTGATAGTTTTATTATATCATTTTCAAAATTATTGGAACCTTGATCTTGAATGCAAACATGACAAACTCGAAACAGCTATGCGGGGCCGAAAAGCTATCGAGACGTTTGAGAAACCAGACCTGTAAGATTGTCAATACACGGTCATACACCTTGTTTTACCCTAAAATTGTGCACAAGAATCGCTCTCAATTTTTCCTGTGTATTACAGTCGTTACAAGAAAAAGCAAAAACAATTGGGGCCGTTAAAAAAGCTAGGGGTGTATATTGGGGATCGAGTGGAAATGCTGCACGTACGTTACGCCTGATCCTACATGACTTGCAACTCGTAGATTTTCTGGATACTAGATTTGTAGGAGCAAAGGCTATTTATTCGATATTAATTTTTTCATAAATGCAAATAAACAGTACCACTCTTTATTTCCAGTTGGCTTTCATTATTCTATCACAAACGTTTTGGAGAGCTACGGATCGATACAGAAGCACAAAACTCAGTTACGATATTACCTTTAGATTTCCAATTTATACCTGCTATTTTAATTCTTGAGAAAAAACCTAGGTTTATTTAAAAAATCAATAGACCTAAAAGAACGTATGGGACGGCGCTTTTGCAAGAAACTCGCTTCCGCATCTGTTCATTGTAGTTAAACGCATGTTATAGCTGATCGTTTTGCTGTGTTGATGAGCATTTTAAAGGATAGAACTGACATAGTATAAATAATTTAAAATAATTAAAGGTAGAGGAAAAGAAGAGCTTGCTATTTACAACAGTTTGGCATAAAACATACCCGCGGGGAGTTGTCCTTGAGTTTCTTGGAATGAGGGCCCCACTGACACACACGTGGCGCGTGTCTGTCACTTAAGTTATTGTCTCAATGGAACTGAATTGAACTATTTTAGTTTTTGTAAGCTGAAAAGCAGAAGCAAAATTCGGAGTAAGTACTCTCTAACAATGTATTCTTGAGGAACAACGAACAGAAACTTAGCTTAAATAAAAAACTCAGGCATGTCTGACGGTCGTCCAGTCGTTAACCTGCAACGCATTTTGCCCATAAATTCATTTATTGACGGTAATCAGAATTACTTCAGTTATTCAACGAGTTTCTATTTAAACTTGGGTTTTCCGCCCTAGAGGAGCACAAAAGAATTGCTTTAATTGGAGCAATTCAAAACAACTAGCCTGCCTAACTGTGATTATTTCTGTGCAAGTTGCAACTGTGGAGCGACAACCGGGGCTCCTTCTTAGAAATCTTCAAGTTAGTAATATTTTGGTGCCCGAAGTCATATTTTTATAAAACTGAAATCAAAATCTAGATAATCACAAGCGGGCTTAGCACAAACTGGCCCAATTTGTTTTGTAAACTTGGTGGCATCGTTTCGGTCACATTCCTCGCCCTCAGTGGAGAGCATGTCCACAAGCTTACAAGATCTTTTGAATTGGAATCTCAGCTGCCGGCAATGTCTAGAAACGGTGGTCAGTAAATTCTACTGTTTAATGTTAGCAAATTGCAATTTGTAATTTAATTTCATTTGCAGTATAGCCTAAACATACGGGGTTTATTTCTTAACACAGATTTTTTTAATATTATTGATAAAAAACAAGTTTTTTGTCACGAGCTTGGAAGAAAAAAAAACTACGAGTCTCTCAGGTAATTCAAACACACCAGCCGTTTTTATTAAGACTGGAGGGAGGGCTTTACCATTCAACACAAGGTAAAATAGAGTATGATACAGCACTCATTGAGTTTTTCAATAGCATTGAGCTCAGATAGGTAGTTTGTGGTTAGTGGTCACTACTGGCACTGAGTACTTACGGTCTAAAGGCCGTCCGTCAAGCGTCTACGTGTGATCCTATCGTGTGAAAGTGAGCTGACGTGAAGCACTGAAATCCGATTTGAATTTAAGGAGCTCTGTTGGAAGAGGTTCAAGAACAAATTCGTGACAAGTCTCATTCATTTGAATTGTCTCAATCGATGCATAAAACCACCTCCCATCTTTCTAAGTTTTCCTTTAGGTAGGCCGTGTGAAAACAAGGCCGTAAAGAGTTCCACAATAATAAGACCTTTTCGAAAATCGAGAGTGTATATGCATTATGTCTTGATTTCACGTATAGTTACGTGGAAACTGGTAATCAACTTGAACTGATCGTATTCAAATAGTGACTCATAGTGTGAGAGGCAGGATTTTGCTTCATTACTTTAAGTTTAGGACCGAGCTAACTTCTTATTTCAAGCTAGAATCGAAACAGAGCTCACAGCGTACTCTCGTGCAGAGAGGTTCGAAGACGTGGAAGAATCCAGTGGACAAACATTAAACTTAGTAGAGAATTTAATTGGAAGTTACCGCTTACTTTTGCTCTCGACTAAAAACAACTTAAGGACCTTCAGTTCGTCTGTTCTTCTTGCAGTTTGGACTTTCTTTAACTGAACTTTTCTTACTTCTCTCTTTAACACTCTTACTCAGAAATTTTCATTTAACTTGCTTATTTATGGATAATATTTTATTCTTAATTATATAATGCATACAGTTTCAGTTACTTGTTTATTAAAACATGTTTTACTCAAAATACTCAAAAAATACCGTTTTTCACTAGTTCCCACGAGAACAGGTTAACAACTACCAGAGTAAAGTTCAGTGAAAACAAGGACATTTTTGCCACTGCATGTTACTTTTTCAGTAACTTATATAAGTGCTATAAGCCACGTTAACTGTAAACAAAGGACATCTCCCATATCCAAACATGTAGAAACAGGATAAGGATACAAGGTTTACTACTCTCAATTAATGTGTTCCTAAAAACGGAAAGCTCTATACATGTAAATCAACACGCTAGAATATTTACAGAAATGACGAACAAGAGTATCTCAACGCATGCATGCTAATCAAATCCCCCTTTCTTACAATCGGCTAAAGCTATTCCCATGATCTTTTCAAACACGTTTTAAAAGAGAATGATACGAATACCTGCTAAAACTGCGTTTCAAAAGCGCTTCGTTTGCTAAAGCTAACGGCCGAACATCAAGATTTTTTTTAACGAATTTCTAACCATAAAAACTTCAGCCCAACATATTTCGATAACGCTCGCATAGATTTCGTTCAAACTGCACGATTTCTTTTTTCAAAAAAACCTCCCAGTGCCGAGAAATACGGCTGCAATTAACATAGGTAATGACGTCATTTCGTTGCTATGACAGCTCCCATGTCATTTTAACACCGACCATAACGAATTTTCATCTTTAACGTTGTCAGTTTTCCAAATATTTGTTAATGGCGACGTAGTTAATGCTCAAACTTGGGAGGTATTGACCATGAAATACCCCACCGAGCCACCTTAACTCGGTGCCTGGTCCGGGCGGAACCTTTTCTAATATAGTGGCGTTACCCTCGTAAAATGTTCTAGAAGACATAGTTTGAGACAAGAGAGGATTTTTTTCACAGTTCTGCACCTTTTTCTTAACTTTTAAAAGTCAACCGTAGTGGAATAAAAGAAATTAATCGCTGGTAACCGTAAGAGCCCCGCATCCCAATTCATACCCTTATCAGTTGGGCGGATTTGCTTCAAGTTGCTTAATTCATTTACTGTTGAAAAACCTCAAAGAACATGCCAAGTTAATGGAATAGAGCATTTT